CGTCTCTCTCTCTCTCTCTCTCGGTCTAAATATAAATGAATAGAGATGAAACTAGGCGTGAGATGTCAATGTCCAAGGGCAAGTGTCACATGTCCTGATGACCTTAGAAGCACCTCCGTGGTTTCTTCCATCCCATTTGCCTATAAAAGCAAAGATATAGTCAATTCATCATCTTTAGCTACTTGCTCCCCGGTTTAGGCATCTGCTTTCACTGTAGAGGTGTGATGGGAAAGAGGAGACACTGTGGGGGCCTCAAGGAGTGCTGCTGACCTCACCACCCAACAGTGGCAATTAGCTGGATTGGATGGTAAAAGAACAGGGGAGGGGTGATAAAGACAAGGCATAGCACAGGAGAGAGGAGAGGAGATATTAAGAAAAATCAACCAAAAAATAAAAATAATAATCTGCCTCAAGGGCTATCTCTACAGTGTCAGGGCTGCTGCTGCTGCTGCTGCTACTGCTGCCTGTGGACCTCCTCACATCAGTCCTCATTGATGGGGTCCTCCTTAAAGTTCAAATGGATGTGAGCATGCTTCCACATTTCCATCTCTCTTATTTTCTGAGGGTGATTAAAGAAGAAGACTCAGGCTGAGGACAAAGCCTTCAATGCAGCAGCCAGCAGTTGGTGTCTTTAGGGTCTCACTGCTGCCAAAGCTGCAAAGAAATTTACTTTGCCACCATCTCTTTTTCATTTGTTCTTCGATGCGAATATTTACGCTTATAAGATAGCCCATCTGACTGCAGAAATGATGTGCTGTAGCAGTCACAATATTAGACTGAATCTCTTATGTCATGCATGACGTATATCTCCTTGGCCACCCACCTGCATCCTAAGGCTTGGCCCAGGTCTTTGGATCTCTCAAATTGGGCCTCTTCGTTCTCGGCCCAATTGGTCTGATTTGGATTAGGAATCTTGTTGAACCCGATTCAATAAGCATATCATTAACTGCAAGCTTGCTCGTATACCCGTTCTCGTTACGTGAAGAGGCACCACAAGTTGGCCACAGCTCTCTCTCTCTCTCTCTCTCTCTCTCTCTCTCAGCTTTGTGTGTTGTCATACTCCTACATATGAGTCATACTCCTACATATGATGCAATACTACCTTTGTACTCTCTCTCTCTCTCTCTCTGAGTGCAGTGTTGTGTGTTGTCATTCCTGTTCTAGATGTGATGCAAAGTGAAGCAGCAGAAACCTGTAGGACAGGGATGAGTTGCATGCATGAAGAGACATGCAGGGCTTCCTTTTGTGTGCATGAGACGACAACTTCAATTAGGGTGGAAATGACTCGAGGTCACTTCGGGTGGCACTGTAGGGTCCTGGAAGATCATAAATGGACCCCATGCGTCGTGGAAAGCAGTGCCAACGACACCTACTCTAAGAACAAGAGTAGCTAAGCAGAAAAAAAAGAAGAAGATGCCATGGCATGATTTGATGCAAGTGAGACAGCAGGCAACGTAGAAGCAAAATAATATCTGCTGCATAATTCAAAAACACTCATCGAGAACTTGATCGACGCTTCACTAATATTTCATCATGTAAATAATCCGCTCATGATGGTGCAGTTGTTGCACTTGAGAAGCTAAGAGGAGATCAAAGGGCGACTTATCGACATGCACCAGATTGACAGAGTGACAGCCACCAGCTGTAGCTGCCCAGCAGTCGTCTCAATCTCCGGCCGGGTGTGGAGAGAATCTGTTGGCGGCCTACTCAAGGCTACAATACACCTCCCAGCTTTTACCTTTGGTGTGAGGGCTCGATCTCACCAAATCTTGGTGACCAGAGAGAGAGAGAGAGAGAGGTGCCTATAAACCCTACTGCCTGCAGCTTCTTGGATGTCACGTACGGGGAGAGCTGCTGTCGTCGTCCACAGCGACTTGACAATTGACTGCATGGTGTGCTGATGGGAACCCAACTGCAGATTCTTCATAGTATCTGCTTTGATGAGCTAGCTGCCCCTCGTAGAGTAGTGACATCTGAGGGGCCTCAGGTAAACACCAGTCCTCTGCTTGGGAAGTCCTCATTGAAGTTGAAAGGTATACACACACCTCCTTTGTTTACTATGACCTGTTCACATGCAAATGTAGATTAGAATCTCAGATGTGAGACAATGTTACTATAGGAGTTTGAGTTTGATTATGATTATAATTAAATATTATTTTAAGATTTGAATCAAAAACACTATTCATGAGTCTTGAGGGGTTAGCTCTATGACCAAGTAATATGGATTAGCAGCAGTTAAAGACTTTGGAAAGCTCAAAGGATTTCAATGATTTATGACAAAAGTTCACCACTCTCAAAACTCATTTCTCTCTCTTAATCTTTAAATCCCAACCACTATAAAGTCATAAGCCATATGTATAAATACTCTATGCCTTAATCTAACCTCATAGGATTGCCAATCCTATCAACACTTTCAAACTACCAATCAATTCAGTAGTGACTGACATTTACAAATGATTAATATCAACTAAACTGATCATTCTGAACTCTTCTTTTCTTTCAAATGAATGAATGTTAAAACAAGAGAGAGAGGTATGAATGAAACTTGTAATGGCCACATACACTATCCTTGTACAAGTTTGAAACCAGCAATGGATCACCAACTCGGATGCTTCTTTGATTAATAAAGACAAAAATAATAATAATAAAGATAATTCCCATGAAAATTTAAGCATATTTTCTAATTCCATGACATCTCTTTATCTGTTGTAACATTCTTATTAAGAGATTAAAAGCTATACTCTATTTGCAGATTAAAAGCCTCACAACTTGTAGAAGCAATGGCGTGGAGATGTCTCTCAGTTTTCTACTGTATAAAATACAAAGCACCTCCAGATTATTTCCATCTCCAATCTCTAACTATGAGTCGAAGTCAAAGTCAACATTCTTCAACCAGATGCAATGAGATCATTGATCAGAGAGCATGCATTCTGGTATCACTACGACACCCTAATACTTTTGTTTCTTGACAGCTCCAATTCACACAAGAAAGGTGAACTAAGTATATTCTTGAAGGCCTGCAAGCTTGAGATTGTTCTGCCTGCAGACTGCTGAGAATTAGATCATCCAAATGAAGAAAGGAAGAGAGAAACAAAGGAATCAGATTCACCCAGATACCTTAACTGAATCACGCAGAAGCAGAGACTTCATGCCCATGATTGTAAGAGACATTTGGTGCAGACCACAGATTGTTCGTGCAGAAAATGACTCGAAATCAGCAATTGCGTGCAGGTCGGCGTTGAACAATTTGATGATGGCAGTCACACACCATGAAAAATAATTAACCTGAACAAATCCATTTCAGTCGGGGCATCGCAAGCTCGAAAGATGTACATGCAATTCCGACTCTCAGCTTCTGCAATTGTTGAAAAGCTTAATCGATGACCAGCTCAGACGGTCTGATATACTCCAATAAATGAACTTCTCACTAGAGAAAAGTAGCTTAAGTACACTAGCTATAGCGAGAACCTAAATATGTGAATTATAAACTGAGGGCAGTCAAAATGCCTCTAAATGCCAAAGACATTACATTGGCATTTAGTTGAAGAAAAGTTTTGATACCTTACAATCAGCATATTATGCTACTACATAATATTCAATTTTAACACAATTGCTCACAGGAAAGCAAAAGCAAAGGAATGAGACAGTCGTTCTGAGTTTAAAAGCCATGCTTAATTTACCATCTATGATCCAAGGATGTCGTGAACCACAACGAAAAGAAAACTTGTCATACCCGCAAAGAAGAATCTAAAGAGAGACATTCAACAAATAAACAGTGCAGAGTATCCCCATCTTCCCCATGTAACATTTAAATGAAAATACCTACTGAAAGAAGTAATTAACAGCTGCCCAGAAAATGTGATACTAAACTTGCTACGTTTACATGCCAGCAGTCTCATCTAAAAGCAGATACGAAGGTTAACAAATGCATGCATTGTTGTTACAGGCAGTAGGTGATTGTACACCTGATATTTATCTACTACAGTTTCAATACGATGCATATGATAAGTTGAATAAAAGTAAGCATTGTTGTCACTGGTGACTGCTTGCACCAGCCCTCGATAGCCTTTCGAAGACTATAATACTCTACATTTGAACCACCATATTTACAAACATCTATGCAAGTTAGCACTTACGAAAAGATATAGCATGTTGATTGCTTGACCTAAGCCAGTGTTATATATATAATTCTATTATTTGATCAATAAAAGTAGGCTTTGAATATAAAACAAAGATACATATAACAACCCTTGTGAATATTTAAGTTCATGGGAAAGTAAGTAGCTCACAACACCCTGTTCTCGCCCCTTTCCGACAAAAGAGAATCGATGAAAAATGATCAGTAGATTAACCAGCATGCAACGTGAGAGAGCAACAAATCAAATGCGGACAATGAGATCTCTATTAAAAAATAAATGACTGATGAATTGTTGCAAGAGTATAGCTTGCTCACAGCATTACTCAATCCTTAAAAGCTTATTTGTGAAAATTACTCTAAGAATAGCTATTCTACATGCAAGTTACCAGAGATCAAAGCACAAAATGCAAAACACCAATGACAAGACATATATATACCAATCACCGATGAAACTTGATTGCACTGAGAAGCAAAAAAATAAAATAAAGATAAGGTATTATTGATAGAAGGTTTTCTAAACAAACTTACAAAAACAAATTAATTACCTCAAAATTTTCAAGCGGGCTTCCTCATTTGTAAGAATCATCTTGCCTTTTTTTTTTTAATTTCTTTACTTGGAAAGAGATTGCAAACTGTAGGCCTCCCAGCAATCAGCAAGATCCTACTATTTCACATAGTTATCAACGTGAATGTAAATTGGCGGAATATGACCCGATGTTGCAACCTTGACAACAAGTCCTACAATACAACTATAACACATCAGTAAAACTACAGATACGTAATATTTAAAAGAAAAGTTACAATGCGAATAAATATAGGACAAAAATACTGAAGAAAATTGAAGGAAAACATGATTATTACATTGCCTGGAAGGTCAGAGATATGTTTGAAAGGAGTTTGCCTTCTTCATAACTTGATTTTTCCATTACCATGATGTTATGTTAATCCTGCCATCAATTCATCAATCTTCATTGTGATTGCAATCAACTCTGAAGTCATCTATCAAAACTTTTACAATGAGAGTTGATATCGCATATCCTTGTTAATGGAAACTTAGGACCTAGGAACGAAATGAAGCTGCATTAAATCGCAAAGGCCAGTTCAATGGAGCAACCTCCAAATTCTTGTTGATTTAGAGAAAGATTCCCGAGTAACCAAAAACAGGGGAAGGCAAAAATTACTCTATCAGCAATTATATCCGATTCACACTAAAGGCACAAGCAAGCTACGAAGAAGAAAAATACAAGTTTTAGAACATGGAATCCTATAGATTAGATTACTACTGTAAATTTGAAGACTGCAACCGGTCTTTTACCCACACCATCACTCCAACAGCCTCACAGCCACTACGTCCCGTAAGAAGACCAGCTCAATGATCGTAGGGCAATGTTCCAAAATATGCGAAGATTAACTATTTCGTCGATGAATCCCCGTCGTCATGACTGTTCAGAGATAGCACCTAATCCACGAAGAACAACACAATCCACTCTACGAACTATTTGCTACTCGATCAAATTAAGGAATTGATACTGACCGGAGTGCCAACCGCCCAAACTTTGACAGAAAACCTTTCGAGAAACCATTCACTTGGAAGAAAGCGGGCGCTCAAAACCCACCCTGCCGAAGCAACATTTCGAAGACCATCAGACCCCTCCCTCTCAAACTCAAATCCATCGGAAAGAACAAGCAAAGACGAGGGCTTGCCAACGCAAAAGGGACAACCTCCGTATCATCTCCAAATCTGGACCTAGCGATCCACGGCCGAACCTCCCCACGGCCGAAAGGCACGGCATCGTCGACGCTGAATGGGAAACGGAATTGGAGAACTTACGCACGAATCACGTGCTCTGAGAATTCTCGCCGACGGAGACGGTCAACTTCGCCCCGCGCGTCGAAGGTCAGCGCAGAAAAGGAGCGACGGCGCCGTCATATCGCACTTGGGCTTAATAATTCAAATTGGGCTTCGGCCCATCAAAGCCCAATAACCCTCGAATACAACAATCACTTCGTCTACTACTAAATATACTACCAATTCACATACTCCTTAACAACAAACAAACACACCACAATCTTACATTATGTTTTGATTGATAAGACATGAAGATTATCTTAATATAAAGCTTGTCATTTAATGCACAATCTCCAAGTACAACACCAAGTACCGATGCTTCCCTATCCTAATAATACAAATGCGCCTAGTGTTGTCTTGAGCATGTGAGCTTAGGCATGCATGACCTTGGTTAACGAGAAACGGTCCCTCATAATAGTAGTTAAGGATTCATAAGATATAGGATATTGTAGATTATCCATCCCCCTTGGTTTTATTCAAGGAAATGGGAGGAGGGTGGGTCTCATCTTGATGTCTTCCTAGGAATGTGTAAAGTAGGGAACTGCACATCCGTTGGGTTTCACCCAATCTCACTTGAAAGACTTCTCTTTTGTTGTCTTCTCGGGTGCCAATCACACATGATGGGTGTATAAATGCTCCCTACATGTGAATCTCTCCTTTGTTTAACCCACTGATTCCTCTCCATTATTTTAAGGTTCTCCAACTTGGAGAGGAAGCGTCGACATTGATGATAGGATAGTATCCTAAACACTTATTAGCTTCCTAGCAACGAGTTTTCCGAAAGAGACTCCATCAATGTATATATATGTGCAAGGTGTTGACTTTATTCTCATGCTCTATTTGCTTCCTTCCTTGTCTCGCTTGATGTTGTTATCAAAAGCATTAGCCAACATTTGAGCTGAAGCAGCAGCTGAGCTGTGTATCATCAGCCTATAAACAATGAGCCTTGTGTTATTGTTTTGTGGCCTCCATCCACATGCATGAAACACTGGTGTAGGTAATAGGCCTGTGGACCAGGATGGATGGACAGAGAGAAGAGAGGAACTGCCTTGTTCTATTTCAGGACAGGAGAAAGATCCATGTGCCTTCGTTTCAAAGCCTTGGAAGCTGTAATCTGGTCCTAACTCCTGTTTCTGAAGCAAAACATGCATGCTAAGGCTCTTGCTCACCTGGTCACGGTATGCACTGCTACTTTGGCCTACTTAAAACTCTTGTTTGTGTGATAGAATAGAATAGAGATGGCCAAGGAAAGAGGCCGGAGAGAGACAACATTGATGGCATCATCACATTGGGATACCGAGCCTAAATGGAGCTCCTGTGGCTGCGTGCATGAAGAACCCTAGAAAAGCAGCACATGATGCAGGGTTTCCTGTCGCTTCTTGCCCTCCATTCGGGCGCACCTTCCCATGCTACCTTCCTTCCTGCGTTCTCTCTCTCCCCCCTCCTTCGTCCTCCACTTTCTTTCTTTAATCATTGAGCCGCAAGCCAACCACGGAGGGGCATGAACAACCCTAAGATGGCCAAAGGAGGCGGTTCTGTCCACAATCGACCCGCCTACAAAGGTCGGTTTCCAAAGCCATGCGCTTCCCGAGGCAACCAAAGGTGGGGCTTATTGGAAGCCAGCGTGCTGCTTCCTCTCCACAGTTGTCCAACTCGGCTGATGCGGAATAGTAGCATCATGGAGTTCCCACAGGGAAGACCTGTAGAGGCCGTCATCATATCCTCCCGTCCGTCTTCTTTTCCATGCAAACTTTGTCTATGTAGTATGTTGAGAGTCGGGAGAAATATGTAGCGATGGAGCTTATCTGACCCACCAAAGAAGACGAAGATAAAAGCTTGTCTACCGAAAGTTTCAGATCTAACACATGTCCTTCACGCAATAATGAAGAAAGGTACAATGTTCACTGAATCATTGGACGTAAACAGAGTTACTTCTCAGTTAATAATATCGATAAGGGTATATTTTGATAGAAAAAATATTTATTTTAATCATAACTTGGATCAATAATTAGTCTCGTATGAACATTAGTCTAAAATAAAAAAAAATAAAAATTATCAAGTTATGATAATCGATATTTACTATTTTTTTATTATATTATCGACTTAAACGTCAGTCAAAAAGATCATAAAAATTATTCGACTTTGATTTTTATAAAATCGATCATAGAAACAATCATTCGAGGTCACAAAACAAGCGTTCAAACACCTCATAACTATCGAGCGAACATTCGAACCTCTCTTTCAATAACATCGTACTAGTTTGATCGATTATCACCGATACGAGTAATAAAAATGATGTGAACGTAAAAAAAAATATCAGACTTTAACAAAGTGGGTATCGGACCTTCTGCTCCCACAAGCTACCATTTAAGACAGATAAGAAAAAGAAGGTGGTGGGGATGGAGGATTATTGAGAAACATGAGCCCCTCGACTGTGTCGGCCACAAGGAGACTAGCTACCTCCTCTCTCTCTCTCTCTCTCTCTCAACGTAGATCAGGGTTACATTGTGATGGTAAGAATTAAGTCATGCTAAATTGCTTCACCGATTTGACGAATAACAACGATCAAAGCTAAGATGATGTATAGATGGAAAGAGAGAAAAAGGATGTAAAAAACATCAGACATTGAAAGCTCAATGACCAACAAAGATTCATATAAGTAGGACTTGTAGGTAAAGGAGAGGGACCTTTTACTTTTTGTCTTTGGGGTGACCAATGTGGACCATCAGTAGTTGACACATCGTTGTCACGCCTCGGTGTTGGATTCCAGGGGAGACTAGCGAAGCGAGATGGCATGACGAGGACGACGATGACTTTGTCTTCTATCGATCCATCTCTCTCTCTCTCTTTATTTTCTCGTCACTATCACTATCTTGATATCTGTGGGGTCCGCCGTAGCGTGGGGCATGGATAGCCACATGATTGATGGCCCTGATTTGGGTCGATTTTATACACCAACGCTTTGGTGGGTAGTGCTTTTTTTTACTTACATCCTTAAATAATAATAATAATAATAATAATAATAATTTTAACCTATTTAGATAGATATTTTACCAAAAAAGTTTTAGTATTAGATTTTTACCCCTTGTGATCACTTTTTTTTGTATCGAATTAACGAAAATATTTCTCCATCAATCACCCATCACATTTGGGTAAAAACCTAATACTATACTTTTTTAGATAAAAATATATAATATATATTTTATAAAAAATTTCATTATTATGCTTATTAATTAAATTAAAATGAAATATGAATTCATCTCATGGATCAAGTCCATCCACTTCTCTTTGATCACGATTATCAAATCTCATGATAAGATGATTATTAATTAATCCACCAATATGAATTTATGATTGTTGCACTTGTTAATCAGTGTCAAAGTTGAATATTAATAGTTTGCCTCCTAATTAACTTATATTATGATAGATAAGATGATTACTAATAATTCAAGTGAGTCTCTAATATCATAATAGTTATTTTGAGTAAAATCAATTTTACCTTATTCATACTGATATGATCAATGTAGTTAATCGAGCTCTTGTACGCTAACTCTTGATTGACCCGAAATATTGATCATACCAATCCTCATCTTCTCTCGGAGTAAGAAGAGTTCCATTGTTTCTTATCCCCTAAAATTTTATCGGCTCACTTTATATTTTTCATATTATGATTGCAATAGTTTTGTATATTTTTAGACTTTACAGCATGATATTCCATTATCGTAGCAAAGGAGACAATAATGGATGAGGAGGACATGTAAGACAATGCAACACACATTCCAACTTGGACAAACATAGTACTGTAGCTGTGCTCTACATTTCATATCCAATGATGAAAGGCTGGAAGGTGGATATTTGCAAATCTTTATCTGTGATCTGTACTGTAACCTTTTGCATTTTATTTTTTTACCTATATATGTGTGTGATTTCTTGGATATAGATCTACCTACTTTGGACATTTGATGGTCCTTCAAACTTTACAACCTTGTAATGTTTTATCTCAAGGGTGTCTCTCCCAAATTTTGTTTTATTCTATGCATTAGTACACCAAGTGATCTACTTCACTATATAATTGATAGAAAATATATTAACGATCACGTAAAAACTATTGTAGAAAAAAAAATATACATGTTACCCTTCATCCATTTGACCATATAGATAAAAGTCTAAGACATGTCATTCGAGACTCTCTCCGTTGTCGCCAACGTGAACAAAACGTCAAAAGAGAGACGTTATGGTGGTTTCAGATTATCCACTCGAAGATCTAGTATAAAAATTAATCCTTGAAGCTATGTTAGGAGGTTTCTTTTTCCAAAAAAAGTTCATACCTACTAAGGGACCTTGATTATTAACTTAAGCGTCGGAAAGATTAGGTTGAAAAATTTTTCTTGACATCAGTTTTAGTGCAGGTGGCGTCCAAGAAACTCAATGTTACACCTAGGAGCCACCTTAGTCACCACATTCGGTACTTCTATGTCATTGGGTTTGAACCATGTCCGGTTGATTCATACGTTAATAATGATTTTTCTCAATAAATAATAATAAAATAATTTCTCTTACATTATCTACCTCATCCATTCTCTCTCTAAACTACAAATATCTTGTTATTTCGATTTGATGAGATAACTCACTCATTAATTTATTAAATATAATTAATTAATTAAAAAAATATTTAAGTTTACTTTTGCAAGACGGTTGAAATCTTCATCCACTTAGGAAACTAAATTAAACTATTACAATTAATACTTGTCATTTACACAAATCCATTCTATATAGTTTTAACGTAGGTTAATAGCCAACAACTTAAAATGAGCAACTTACATGTTTCGGACCCAAGTCTTTAGGGTGTTATCTAGTTGGATGTCACTTTAATCTATATAAGATTCAAATTTGAATAGATAAAAACGTGGATTCACATTCCAAATTTAGGATGAACATGAAATATATATATATATATATATATATATATATATATATATATATATATATATATATATATAATATAAATATAATCCAGTATAGATACGGGAGTCAAACCAAATCCGATAAACTCATCAGATCCAAAATGAAGAAGTACATAAGAGTTTTTGAATTAAGTTCGTACTGATCGATCAAATAGTAATACTCTCATGCACTTGTTTTGCATGTGATGAGAGTGTCTTTTTAAAGGTTATATATTGTGATTATAGTACTAAACATCGATTAATCTATCAACAAAAAGAAGGGGGTGGGGGAGGGGGAAGAACACGAGATGAGACCACCACCTTTCAAAGCCTTTGTTTGTGCCTATCCACGAGCATGTACTTGTACACGTGCTTGGGTGCGCGTGTGAATGTGGTGAACCATTTGTTTATTTTGCCTTCCATTATAGATCAGATGCGAAGGAGGACAAAAGCTAATGATAGATTAACGAGGACATGTCATGGCCGACGGCTTCCATAGAACCAAAAGCTTAAGCACATAGATAGGTTTGTGTTCGAGACAAGACTTCTTTTCCGAGGAACAGCTGTGCCATCTTCCTAATCTCTATCGACGCATGGAATAATCTCTCACTGGTTTGGCAGGATTGGAGGTCACGCGAGGGGGACTCTCAAGTTAAGTTGGTGACATTAAAATGCCACCATTAGCTTTGCAAGATGAGATTATTAAGGCACCAACAAAAGCTTTATGGAGATCTGTGTTTGAGTAAGCATGCATGAGGTTGTGTTATTAAGCATAAAGATTGTGCGTTTTTTCTCAATCTATATTTTTTATTTAAATAATTTAAATTAATTTTAAAATATTTTTCATACGTAGAAAGTTATCATATGTCAATATCTATTAATTATTGATTATTAATTATCATATGTCACCTCCTACGTTTGCAAATGTGTTGCATAAGCTTTTTGACCGTATCACAGTTAATTTTTATTGTGTTGGAAAATTTATGGGTCGATCGGTGAAGAATTAAGACACTGATAACACACAAAAAAACAAAAACAAACAATTATAATCATCATAATCACTTGTAGTTTCTTCATGCTATTACTGTTGATCTCATCTCTCTCCATTTATAATTAGTATGCTCTAAATAGGATTCCTGCATTTTACTTAAAAACTATGCGATCCATTTAATATATTAATATATCAAGTTTGATGATGAACTTAATGATTATGTTATTAACAAAAAAAACATTGGCATCCAACACAAAAAATGATGATTCACAACTTAAATCTTTTATTTTGATTGTATACATATCTCATTCATTGGAATATATCCTCAAATATATTATTTTTTAATCTATTATGTTAACATTTAAGATGTCCAAATACTTGAAACTATAAATACTAGAGAGAGAGAGAGAGAGAGAGAGACTTATCAAATACTTTAAATACTAGAGAGAGAGAGAGAGAGAGAGAGAGAGAGAGGGGTTGGGTAAAGGTTCAATAGGTCTAAGAATTGGGTGGTGGAATCACGTGCGATTGCATCTTTGCTAATGCACACCCACTCACCTTTTCACGCAATAGATTTCTGAGGTTAGCGTGGAGGGAGCAATGAACACTTCCAGCGGAGTTTGCTACGAAAGGAGAAAGTGGCAGCCTCATCCTCTCTTACCATCCCGGAAAGAGACGCTACCACACGTTGGCCATGGAGAAGTCTAAATTGGCTTTGTGAGAGGTCATCAATCTCTCATCTAAACTGCACTTCGATACGTAGATGAACATAATTAATCAGAGATAATCTCATCCATCCCACAGCCATTTGATATTTCAAGACCATAATAACAATGATACTTACTATTTACTTGTTTTTAATGGCAAAGCTAATAAGATATTAGAATAATAATATTGAGCTACACTGTACTAATCTACATAATGACTTTGTTTCTAGATCTCAATGCCTGATACAACATTCATATAGTTGACCACAAACAATTATTGTTCTACTTTGGTTCATTTTTGTTATCACATCATTGTATTACATTTGACACTTAATATAGTGATATGAAAATATTTTTTATGATTACAAAATTTTTTGTATCAGAACATTGCAACTAATCAGCATCTTCAAACTTTAAATCATGTACATAATTGTCAGGTTAATAATATTTTGGGTATTAGAAAATCATACCATCATCTTTAGATTTTGTATTTAGTGCTCCTAATTGAATAGAAGAACTTTGCTTTATATATATATATAAAATGAGATTTGTGTGTGGATAGAGATTTATGGTCATGTAAGTATGTAAAGGGTCAAAAACCTGTGAGCAGACCACCAAATCTGTAGTTGGCATGTCCAAATCCAATAATTTACTGTCAGCACCCCCACACCCTAAAAGGAAAACCAGGCTGGTTTCTGTGAGCTGAAGCCCAAACCAAAATGGCTTCACTTCACTCCTCCCTGCACCTCCCACCACCATAAGAATGCTGCCTCTGCTGGTCCCACTCTCCCCCCTCCCAAAGCTTCCATCTCATGAGCCCTCCTCTCCACTCATTGCCACTTTGGTCATACATTGGAGATGGACTTCGGTGGTGTGGTGAGCATGGACGGGTTTGTAGGTGCTTCCTCAGGGGGTGGCAGCCTTCTGTCTTGCTCCCTGACCACCTCAAACGCCCAAGTCTGCAGGCCAAAGGGGCTCCCCGGCTGTGGCTTTCAGAAGCTTGGGAGGTCTGCTGAACCTGATGACTGTGATTGGAGATCCCTCAAGATGGCCAGAACCGAGGCAATGGTGACAGCACCCAACGAGGCACCTCCTTTCCTGCCGGGATCCACCACCACCCCCTACTCTCTCTTCCCTTATGGGGAGCAAATGCTCAGCTTCTCATCGACCTCCAAGCAAGATGCTTTGATGCTCAGCTGTGAAGGGGCCCTGCCTTACTACTGCTCCCCATCAGCATCTTCTCCCACACCTTCCTCTTACCTTAGGAGTGCAGGTAACCGGCACCAACTGTTAGATCTCTGTGTTGTCGAAGCTGGGATTTTGGCGCAAGAAAGAGCTTGGTTGTAGTGTGTGGAGATCTGCTTGATCCCAGTATTTATCAGTAGAGGGTCTTTTCATGGCATTTTCTTCCATTGTTTTTTATATATATATATTCTTTGTGAGTCTTGTCAAGCGAAAAAGCTGGGTTTTTGTGCTTCCTGGTTGGGTCTTGTCTTCGCTGGTTTTCATTTGGGAGGTTATCTGCTCTCTTCCTTCTCATGTAAGAAAGAGCAAAGTGGGATAAAGACCATTAGGAAGAGGAAATGGCTTACTGCATTACGTCTTCCTTTGGGGGTACTCCTTGTTGCTTCTCTGAAGGAAAATGACTGCAAGATGCCGAAACAAAAGAGAAGAGAAAGGAATATGAACATCCGATATGATGGTTTCTACAGCTTGTTGTGCTTCCTTTGGTGGTTGCACGCAAGTCATGGGTACTGTGACACATCTGCCACGCCCCCCTCCTCTCCTCCCCCTCCCCCCTTGAGGCATATTCTTGTTGTTTGGGGTCGACATTTTGTTTGTGCAGGATCTGCTCTCCATCTTCCTTCCCCTCTCTGTCACCTCTTCTGAGAAGGTTATCACTCTTTCCTTGTTTCTGGTGTACAGGGTTGTATTCTGGGAGCTCTGATGTGAACATCAATGGGGTTTTGGCAAGGGTGAGAGGGCCCTTCACCCCATCTCAGTGGCTGGAGCTGGAACACCAGGCCTTGATTTACAAGTACATCGTTGCCAAAGTTCCTATCCCACCCAATCTGCTCACCCCTATCAGGAGAAGCCTCAGTTCTTCTGGGTTCCATCCCTTATCGGCTGGACCTTTTGGTTCAAATTCATGTAAGCCTATCTACTCTTCCGAAAATAACAGGGACAAGTGTTTACACATAATAACTTGTTGGTTTCTGTTCTTGTATGAAAAGTATATCTTCTAGGAATCAGTCAAATCTTGTTCATTTCCTAAGATCTCAGCTCGGTACAGAATTAATGGCAGATCCTCTTTAAGCTTGTTAGAGATGAACACATTCAATTTAAACAGTGGTTCTTGAAGAGTTACTGTTTCCCACTTTATACCTTTCTTTCAAATACTGTATTGAGCTTCTGCTGAACCCTTTTCTCCTTTTTTTTCATTTATAATTATCATTTTTTTAAAGATGTATGTAGTTTTTTTATAAAAAGCAAATGTATACAAGTCTGTTTTTTGTGATACCCTGTTGATTTCAATTATTGGGACTATGTGATTTCAGCTATACTTTTTATATGTCACTGGTAGAGTTAGCAATCTTTTTAGCATAACCTGTTCATTTTTGTAGTGGGCTGGGGACCTTTCTATCTGGGATATTCTGGAAATGCTGATCCAGAACCCGGTAGGTGTCGTCGGACTGACGGAAAGAAATGGCGGTGCTCGAGGGATGCAGTCGCCGACCAGAAGTACTGTGAGCGTCACATGAACCGGGGCCGCCATCGTTCAAGAAAGCATGTGGAAGGCCAATCTGGCCATGCCGCGAAAGCGATGCCTGTTATCGCTGCTTCACAGTCAGCTACAGCAGTTTCTGGTGCTGGGTCATCCAGTAGCCTTGGTAGTGCGCATCCGCAAACTAAAACCTTGCAGCCAAATGTTCGTGAAGTTTGCACTGCACCATTCAACATGTAAAGAGAACTAGTAACGCTTTACTTTTGTTTTCAATTGATATCTTTTGTTTCCAATCATTAAAAATACGATATTTATATCTCCACATATTAGTCATATGCTTTTTCTTGGTCGATTGTTTAAGCATAGTTTGTCCGGTGCATCAATTGCTATATTTCAATGTTCTAATGGAATTTTATTTATGAGTTACAATATTGTCACAATTTTATGCTGAAAATATGCAGAATATTTGAGTTATCGGTAACAACATCCTCCTTTTTCAATCGATTGCTAACTTAACTGTTGTCTGCAGGATGGTGATGAACAAGGAAAATGCCAATGACCAAAGACAGGATCCTGTGAGCCTCTCCATGTTGACTTCTATGAACCCAAAACCCACTAGTTCCTTATTTTCAATCCCGGAACATCACAATGCCTTTGAAACCACCTCATTCCGAGCAGATCTTCAACTTGTTGCTACCGATTCCCATTTGAACCCTGCAACTAGGTCTTTCTCAGATAAAAGCTGTATCGCTTCCCCGAAGCTCCAAGTCCCACGACCGCAGTCCCATCCCCTTCATCACTTCATCGATGATTGGTCAAAAACCCAATCGAATCGTTCTACCATTACTTGGCCTGAGATAGAAGAAATGCAGTTTGAAAGAACTCAACTCTCTATGTCGATACCAGTGGCTTCCTCAGAGTTCTCGTCCTCCTCTTCTCCTCACCATGAAAACCTTACGCTTTCACCCCTTAAGCTGTCACGGGAATACAATCTCCCTCACATGGATTCGAGGATAAATGTGCTGAGTGAGGTGAACCAAAGACAGATAAGCTGGATACCGATATCCTGGGAGACTTCCATGGCTGGTCCTCTGGGAGAGGCCCTTGCCAACACCAGTAGCATGCCCAAGGATCAAAGCAAAAACTGCTCATCGTCGTCATCTCTAAACCTCTTGACCGATGGCTGGGATTCAAGCCCTCGGATGGAGTCCTCTCCGACGGGTGTTCTGCAGAAGACTTCATTTGGTTCTCTTACGAGCAGCACCGGGAGTAACCCGAGGGCAGAGAACAGGAAGGCTCATGAGAGCACCGCAAGCTTGTCCGATGACCTCCTTGGCCCGACCCTTGTAGGTCCTCCAACCATCCCCTCACTTTGAGCTTTTGGAATGAGGACTGCATCACTGATGATGTCAAGTTATGTTTCTTGATTGGTCTTTATTTGTCTTTCTATTATGTTTGCTCTCTGTGAACTCTTTGGATGGCGGTTAGTGAGACCTTGTTGTGAAGAATATGGCACTCCAACTTTTACTGGACTGAAAAGATGATGAGGAGATGATATTTAAGTACCAATTGCTTCTCTGTGCTATATTGTTAGTCTTTCCAACAACAATTTGTGGATGTGCCTTTGTCTGGGTTCTTCAGAATGCTATGTGTATCATTGTTGGTCATCTGATTGGAATTCAGTGCGTCTTCATCCTTCTTTATGGGGACAAACTATGCTTGATTTTGAGATGATGCCATGGATTTGTTGAGCTGCAATAGGAGAAGCATATCATGCATCTCAACTGTTGAGGAGAGGAGCAGAATCCATGCAACACATGAGACAGCCCCAAAATACTATATCCAATAAATCTATGAAATTTATTTTTATATTATAAATATATATTTTAAAAAAAATTAAAATATATTTTCATTACATTAAATGACATAGATAATGTTGGATTCGAACCTGAGATTTATACAGTTATGTATTAATCAATCCGTATATCTTAATAAAAATTATTATATTTACATATTATAACTATAATAAAAAAATATATATAATATATTTATATATTTTGATAATAAATTCACATTATAGCTGGTTGGGAAATAATTCACATTTACTATTTTTGCTATCATATTAGATATTACCCTATATAATTAGACATTTTTAAGCTAAATTTACTCTAACGATATTAGTTTTATTAACGAAAGCACAAAAAGATAGACAAAAGGATAATTTCAATATCTCAATTACGCTTTCAGTAGTGGTGGATGGTGGCGTTGCTGAGAGTCGTGGCAACTACATCGGCATCGATGCAGAGCAACGAAAAGGCGACGATTTACTACGAGTTGGATGCGACCTTCGTTTGTTGGGCTTATGTCACATTTGTCCATGGTGTCAACGTCCTCGTGGCTCCCCACGTCTACTAAGTCACTTGTGCCACTTGCATTCTCTCGACGTTGGCTATCACGTCTCCAGCACAAGTCCACGGCATGTTCGCCCCCTCTGTGCTTCTTGTGCTCTCGATCATACTACCTCTCCTTCGTACTTTGTGGCTTTCTTGTCCTTTAGCTCTTGTCTTTCTATCTCAAAGTCAATAGTGGTACTTTAGGCGAAGAAGCTCATAGATCCTCAATGGATAGCCATGAAATGACGATATGAGGTGGTTGAGGAGAGGGTGGAGGCCATCTTACTAGGATGTAGCTAGAGGATGGGGTTGTTGAGCGAACGACAATGCGTGGAAGCGACGACCCACGTGGTTGGCCTACACTAGGGAACGACTATGGCCCTACCATTGCTGATGGCCCTAGCGACTGTGTTGTGGTTTGCCATCAAGCTCCGAGAATAGGATGCGACAATACAAAAGGGCAGTTAGGTGATGCTTCAATGACTAGAGGTGTGCTCCAGAGTGCCTATGGTGCTACTCGCTACCATCGCATCGTGGATTGCCTAGGTCACCAAGCGTGAAGCCCGAGTCATCAATGCAGTTGTCGAGCGACACCGATGTAAATGCAAATCATCAATATTTGCATCGTCCTCTCCTTTTGTCTTAACTTTTATTGTCGTTTTTTCTCCTCTTCCACAATAGTTACCCATAGCCCTTAATAGCATTGTCATCCGTCACTACTAAAAACCTAATTATGATATTAAAATTATCTTTTTATCTATCATTTTCATCCTTCTGTCGATAAAACCAACAACGTTAAGGGAAATGAAGTTAGATGTTTATATTCTAATATAAAATTTTCAAGTTTAAAGATTGAGATACTAAATATATCTAACTAGGATAAGATATAATTAGTCCAACCACAATAATTGGCAAAGCATTGGTGGAAGAATTGATCTGCTTGTGTCTTTGGTCTCTCTTCTAGTCTTTTTTTTGCATTGTGGCTTGTGCAGTAATTGTTTACCCACTGCCTTGTATCTCCGTTTCTCTCATCGGTGCAATAACACAAGAAACACATTCTAGATTCCGAGCACTGCAATTCCCAAACCCTTGGGGCTTCTTCTTATTAAGTCCAAATCCAGCAAAAGAACAGTATACTGACTTCTGAGCAACACTAATACCAAACACTCATTTAACTTCGATATATTCCAAGAACAAGAACAATTCAGAACGGTTCCTCTCTCTCTCTCTCCCCATGCCATTTGGATCATCCAAATATGCTGTCCGGATTTTTGGATTTATGGACACCAAAATGTAAAACTCAACAAGTCAAAAATATCAGAATTCTGCACATATTTTTCAGTACGGTAAAAATGAAATTTGATTGGCTGAACTAAGATGTCAGAATAATCATAAGTCCAGGATACACAATTCAGGAGGGCTCCAAAACTCATCATCTTTTCAGAAACCACTGGATTAATCATAGATATACATATTATGATGCTGAATGCACTTCAACAGTAATAAATACACAAGCAAATAGTGTTGCATTTCAATTAAAACACAACAATGGCCAATTGATGAAAGTAATTCAATCCGATGTCCAAATATAGAGAATACATGTAAGAATATCAGTGTGGAAGGAAGAACATACCACGAAAAGAATAACATTGTACATGCACGAGGAGGACACTCGGTTGAGAGACACCTTGCTTGTTGCAAAACCATTTGAATCTGAATAAAGAGGCCTTCTTCTACTTTAACTATCACATACTTCAGGTATTGAAACTTTTGACGCATTGAGGTTTTCCATCATGGCCTTTGATTTGGTGTAGATAGATGTAAGTAAGCCCTCCCTTTGGTGGAATGCCAAACTAAACTGCCGGATCTCCTCCTTAAGTTCCTTCATCTTTTGCTTTTCGGTGTTCAACTCCTTCAACAACTCTTCTTTTTGGGCTCTGAGGTGCTCATTATCTTGTTTAGACAGGGAGAGAGTTTCCACTAGAGAAGTCTTCTCCTCTCTTAACAGGCTGCATGCCCTTTCCATGATCGTACATTTTTCCCTTAAAGCCTCAAACTGTTCTCTGTTGAAGCCACAATCACTTTCCAAGCTATGATGTCTCTTAGAACTAATTTCTTCATCAACACTTGGTTCCTTCAGCCAAATTCAGTTTTTTCAGCAAATAAAATTCATGAAAAATATAATAAGTGCGCTAACACTTTTGAATACAGCAACTGTTCCATATCAACATGTTAAAATATTATCATGATGACAATTGCGTCTGAAATAGCTAAGAGATGAAAACAAAAACAATACTGTGGTCAAAACTGGCTATATTATCCAGGAATGGATTGGAAATAATTAGGCTAGAAATGAAATTTTAAAGACCCAGAAATAAAGGGTACTTTCCAGACGATCAAAATTAATCCATGGTCATAGTAACAGCAACAACAACAATCAAACAGAATCCATCCAAAGTATATGAAAGTTGTGGTGGATGAAAACTCATGCATGCAATAAACAAACATCACAAAGATATTGTTGTGGCTCCACTTACTTTGGTTCCATCATTAACTAGGTTCTTTTCATCTCAGTGCTTTGTGTCTTTAACCTATGATCAATGCTGTTGATTTGTCCCAGTGAAAATGTTGGTTTTCTTGCTACACTAAACCACACATCTCTAAACATACTGAGTTATTTTTCCTTTTATTGCCTATAACTAGAACCCTATATCCAATAACTCAAGGCCTCAAGTCAGCTTTTCACTGCTCATAGAATTTCCATGACTTGTCCAACCATTTTCCTCCAATGCTGCATACTCTGAAGTCTGAAGTATACTCTATAGGCACATCGATATATGAGATATATCTCTTCTTTGTTTTCTGTGTTTTTTTTGTGTTTCTTAAACAAAGCATTGCTTAAAATGATAGTGCAACAACTTCTTCAGTGTATAATAAATCATAATGCCACCATTTGGATAGAGATCCTGCTACTCATTATAAAATCGAGGGCTGCAAATAACCTGAGCTGATAAAAATATTAAGTGGCCCAGGTTTAGCACATGCAGAGATTCTCAAGTTTGCTAGAACTGAGCTTCAACTAGTATGCTCAACCTTGGCTCATTAGCCTTCTCAACTAGCAGGGTTCTCTAGAATTTGTGCTTGAGCTTAGCTTTTCATTAGCAATGCTTTTAGCAACATCAACCTTGGCCTTGTATGGCAACCTGAGCTTGAGCTTTAACATGTCGGTTATTTGGTTCGTCCGCAGAGCTGCAGAAAATTGTGGTTCTCCAGTTGTGCATCTCTGTTGCCAATCATCAGCCGCAACAGAGCTGCTAACCTTCCCATACTATCATGCGTGAATTCTCCCTTAATTCAAGTAATTCACAAAGGATGGTTTTAAGATATATCAACCACAAAATATGGATCATTAGGACAAAATGATAACTACATTACCTAAAATTTTTTAACATTCAACTACAATAGTCATGAATGATAAACATAAATCAGAGAGGTCTAAATGTGAAACATTAGAATGAAAAGGAATAGTTCACTTACGAGCGACATTTCAAGTGATGGAAATGACTGATGTTTCATGTTTGGTGTCATTTGAAGCGTATCAAGATCAGTGATGCAACCTTTGTTCAATTGCATCCACAGGTCTTCATCGGCTGTGTTGTCAAAATTTTCAAGGATGGGGTTTGAATCAACTGTCCTGAAGCTACTTGGTCGTTTCACAACGAAATCATCAGCCATTGCTTTGAAATTGGGAGTTCTGAACACATGACTTCTTGATACACTTAATTCATCAAACATGATAGTTGAATTAACTTTTTGCTGCAAATGTAGATGTGATGTGAATCAGCCCCACTATGCGAGCAGGATAAATAAGCAATGGTTGAGTTCTATTTGATTAAGTTACCTGAGTTGAAATTGAAGTATTATATGAAGAAATAGAGAGACTACTAAGATTTTCTATCTTCTTCTGCTGTTCCTTTATGCGAAGCTCTAAAGTTTCACGGGCTTTTCTTTCTTCCTCAAGTTCCATTGCAAGCCTTTCACGTTCTAGTTCAGACTGATAAAAACAAAATAAGATATTTGTTACAGCAATTAAATGGAAATATGCGCTTCCCATAAATACAAATCATGTGGAACACATTTTAGATTCACTAACTGAACACAATTTTACCTTGTGCATGTCATTCCGTTGTTT